TATTATTATTCCAATTGTTAATTTAATATGATAAAATAGATCCGAATGATGTCCAGACCCTAGGTCCAGATCTATGCTTATACTATGTAAACTTAATTTATTATTTTTACTCCACTCCCTTTTTACAATCGCTCCGAGAAGACTTTCATAAACCAATCCTAACCTTCGCCTAGTTAGAGTAATTAAACTGATTCCCTTCATCCACTCCTCGAGAGACACGACACTCGGAGAGAAAACTAACCCTTTATTGGGAAGGTTTACTACCCGAAAAACTACTACTGTCAAATGGCGCCGTTGTCGGGGAGTGGCACGGCATTAGTTTAATTTCTTCTGATTAGCTTGGGTGAAGATTGGTTAGAACGATCTTCTCACTTCTTTTTCACCAACCACCCGTAATAATTATTATGGATAACTCCAATGGTTATTACGGTCCGCCTCCTTTCTACCAATCACCAAACCGCTCTCCGTTTCAACCCCACCAAACCTATCACCCACATCAGTACCCATACGATGATGACTACCAAGTCAACAATGGGTCTGACTACTATCCCTACCATGAGGAACCACCATATGACACCCCGTCTAGAAACTTTGGATATTCTCCATACCAAGATCCTGATGGGGATGATTATTATGAACCTCATGATAATTAAATTATTAAATATGCTTACTTGTTATTTACTTGCCGCACTAGTTGGGGGCAAGATTTTACTTGTTTTACTTTTCTATTTCAAACAGATGGATGTTGCTTGGATGATCCCGCATGGAAACCGCCGCACATTACAGAATCTGGAAGAGCTCCCCTTGCACTCAGAAGAAGCAAAGAAGAAGTTTCTCACTTGGGGAAACACAAAGATGCTCTAGCCTCCCATGGTGCTAGACCCTGCCTATCTGGATGAACTGGGGCACTGGCAGGACATTGATGAGTTGCTGTACGACCCAAAATGGAGGATCCTGTTATTCCTGCATGCACCAGCCAACCTGGAAGTCACCATCGAGTTTCTTTGCTCTCTCCGCTTCCTCAATGACGGAGAGGAAGTAAAGTCAGCAGCTGAAGTCACCTCCACCACCAAGGTCACGTTCACTCTGATGGGACGACTGCTGAACCTTACCGTGGCAGACTTAGGGTGGCTGATTGGTCTTTACACGCTTCATGAAACGCGGAGCCTGGCCTTTGCTAATCTGCCCGACCAGTTGGATCCAGAATTCGATGCCAAAAAGTTCTGGCAAGCTCATGGGCATGGTCGATTTCACAGTGGAGCAAGCTTAGCTAGGAATTGGGCACGACCGTCTTGGAGGATTTTGCACCATTCCACTTGTGTGGAATGTAAGAGGAATTGGGCACGCCCTCTTACATTCCACTTGTGTGGAATGTAAGAGGGATCTCCTCCAGAGGATCACTCGATAGATTACACCATCTGGTTCAAAAGCTTCATCCTCATATAGTCTGCATTATTGAGCCTTTTAGAGATGCAGAATTCTGTGCTTCCACTGGAAAAAAGATTGGTTTTATACATCACCTTGTTGGATGTCAAGGCAAAATCTGGATATTCTGGAAGGATACCTACTCCATTGATCTATTAACTAATGAAGACCAAGTAGTCTTTGTGAAAGCTACTCAGCTTTCTAGCTGCAGAAATAGTGTTATTGCATTTGTCTATGCAAAAACAAAAAGTTGGCTTAGGAAGGACCTCTGGAATTCATTAGTTCAGTTTGCTCAGTCTCATGACAATGCTACTCCCTGGGCTGTGGTTGGAGATTTTAATTGTAGTTTACGTCCCGAAGAAAAGCTTGGTGGATTACCCATGTCTCTTTCTGCTAGTTGGGATTTTCAACAATGCATCATGGATTGTGGTCTCCTGGAGGTGGCTACTTATGGAAATACTTTCACCTGGTGGAATGGTAGAAAGAAGACCCAATCCATTTGGAAAAAGCTGGACAGGTTGCTTGTGAATCAAGCTTGGGCAGATACTTTTAAAACTAAAGTTCAAGCACTTTCTTTGACTGCTTTTGACCATGCCCCTCTTCATATCTCTGTCACTATACACACCACTTCTAATGCTCCTAAACATTTCTCCTTCCTTAATGCCTGGACAACACATGATGATTTCCATCAAATTGTTCAGAAAGCTTGGGGAGTTAATGTGACAGGCCCACCCATGTTTCAACTCTATGCCAAACTTAAAGCTACTATGTTGGCTTTGAGTAAATGGAATAAAGAGGTCTTTGGGAATATATTTCTTAAACTGGAGGAACTTGAGGCAAATGTACAAGAGGCTGAGGAAGTATACCAACAGGAAAACAGTGATGAGAATCTGCTCAAGCTAAAAGCTATTACAGCTCAATATACTCATCAGTTGCACCTTGAGGAAATGTTTTGGAAACAAAAAGCTCATATCCAATGGATTGAAGGAGGGGACAGAAATTCCAAGTATTTTCAATCTTTGGTCAAGGACAGAAGAAGGAAGCTCTACATACATAAAATCAAAGGGCAGGATGGCCATTGGATTGAGGATCATCAACAGATTTCTAGCTAGGCTATTGATTTCTTTCAAAAGCTCTTTTCTGAGGAATCAAGAGGCACAATTGATTATTCTTCTTTAGCCTGTATCTCTCCCAGGATCACTGATGAAGACAATCAACAACTTGTGGCCTCTCCTTCCTTGGAAGAGGTAAAGGATGCAGTGTTCTCTTTAAACCCTAACAGTGCTGCAGGTCCGGATGGCTTCACTGGCCATTTCTTCCAAAAATGCTGGGACATTATACACTTGGAGATTTTTGCTATGGTTTGTGGTTTCTTCAAAGGGGATTACATGACTAAAGGGATAGCTCACACTGCCATTCTCCTACTTCCAAAAGTGGACAGCCCTAACACATTTGCTGACTTTAGACCCATTAGTCTATGTAACTTCAGCAGCAAAATCATTTCTAAGGTAATGGCTTCTAGGCTTGCTGGAATACTTCCTCATGTGATATCTTCATCACAATCTGGGTTTATTCAAGGGCGATCTATATCTGAAAATATTCTTATCACTCAAGAGTTATGTCATGGGATGCAACTTGGTAATAGGGATATTGTGTTAAAATTGGATATGGCCAAAGCATATGACAGGGTTTCATGGTCCTTCTTAATTAAAATCCAAAGGCAGCTGGGGTTCTGTGAACAATGGATTGATATGGTTTTTAGAATGCTCTCCAACATATGGTATACTGTCCT